GTCCACAATAAAATCTCAGCCTCTTTTGCTAACATCTCCTCATGCTCAACATGGCTAATATAAAGCTTCTAGTCTCCCCCAGCAGTCCTCCCCACTTTTTTTCCTGGATACCGTGGACACCACCACCATCCTGCCTGTTTCTCCAGCCTATAACTTCAGTGTCATCTTTGAACTGGACCTCCAGGTTATTTCTGAATCTTGCTGATTGCGTCTGCATAAAGTATCCAAGATATAATCTTTTCTGTCCACCCCCCAACCAAAACATTTATCCAGCATCCCAATTACTGCTTTATCCCACTTTCTGGCCATGACAAATTCAATTTTGCCCCGCTCACACTGATTTAGAATGCTGCAAAAAACATTTGCCTAGCACTGCACTTCTCTACATTCTTCCATAGGCTCCTTCTTCTCTGTTGAATCAAACATTAGCTGCTTGCCTTCGCTTTCAGGCCCTTCACAGTAAGGATTTAAGTGAGTAGTCGAGTAGTCAACTATCCAATAAACCTAAGCTTATTGGGTAGTCGAGTCGACTACTCGCTCCCCCCCCTTTGCTGTCTCTGTATCAAGAGAGGGGGACTGGAGCTGGTGTGGAGGGGGCCTGCTTAAAAACTGGTTCCCCTAGCACCGTCTCTGTGGTGCTGCTTGCCTTATCCCCCACCACACTGAAGTGGGAGGGAGGCTGCCATGAAGCAATCTCTGCCCGCAGCCAGCCCGGGCCACTGTGAACAGGGTCTGCTGCTGGAGTTGTCTCCGTTTGAGGTAGCCTGGGCTGGCTGCGGGCAGAGGATGCTCCAGCAGCAGACCCTGTTGCAGCAGCCCCTGTTCACAGCTAGCCCTGGCTGACATGAACAGAGGCTCCTCTGGCAGCAGATCCTGTTTGTAGCGGCCTGGGCTGGCTGTGGGCAGGGGCTGCTGGATCTGGCACGAGCCAGGAATGAGCAAACCCAGCTCAGTCCCAGCTTGTGCCAGTCTGGGACCACTGCAGCTCTGCATTTTAAAAGTATTAAGATTCACCCAGCTCCTGCTACATTTAAAATGCAGAGCCGCAGTAGTTCCAGCTCATGCCAGTTGGGGACCTATCCCATTGAAGCTCTGTAATTTAAATATAGTAGGAGCTGCGCTGCTCTTAATACATTTAAAATGCATGAGCCAGGACTGCCGTGGCTCTTCATTTTCAATGTAGTAAGAGCCTGTGCACCCAACTCCTACTACATTTAAACTGCAGAGCCACAGTGAGGGTCGCTCCTGGATCAGCACTCCCCATAGCAAAAACTGGTGTTTCAGGGGCCATTTACTGGTTCAAGACTTTTTAGCTGCTTTGAGTTTGTTTTTTAAAAGTTTATTTAGCCCACACAAAGTCACATACACACATACCCTCTATGTACATGTACAGTGATACAAACATACTCTTTTTATGATTGCTACAAAAAAATTGACAATGGAATTGCTGACGGTATGTTAATACCACTGCCTATCATGCTTGGCAATGTTGTCTCATTGTTTCCTTGTATTTCTTCATCTGTCTGTTTATAGCCATCTTGTCTCAAACTGTAAGGTCTTTGAAGCATAGACCATCACTTTGTTCTGTGTTTACATACCATTCATATAATGGAATCCTACTCCAAAACTAAGACTCCAAAGTACTACAGTAACAAATATATAATAATAAATCTGATAATTTTACAGGTATTATTAAACTGTACAAACCATACATTATTCACAAAGCTAAGAGTATGAAAAAACAAGCTCAAGTTACTGTTATCCCATTCACCTCTGTTTGTGTACATCACCCTTTTATTTCATCTGTTTTAAACAAAACTAAGATGTTTGGTGCAGAACATGTCATATTTGTAGGCGGTTTACTATAATCGGTCCCTGACAAAACTGGGGCTGCTAGCTGCCTCCATAACACAAAATTGTTTAGAATGAAGCTTTCTTGCTGACCTATGCATCTCTAGTAGTTGACATTTTCATTAATACTTCAAAGTCTTAAAGTGATGAAAACTTTCTATCACTCACATGGAAAAGAGCTTACAATAGTTTGTCTATAAATTATCCATTTCCATTAGTAAAATATTTTTGGGAAGAAGATGTTTTCAGTTACTTATCTGACACATTACTAAAACATTTTTCATTATCTCTATATTGGCTACTGAAGTGAGTAATTTATGTTAAATCATAATAATATATGTATGCTTCCTTTCGCATAAAATATCCTTCTGAATAAAATGGGTATAGTATATACCTTCATGTAGATAAGAAACCAGGTGTGTTTTGGCCATACCAGAAAAACAGCTTCTGTGGTGAAATGCTAACCTCACTATTTGATGAACAGGTTACTGGCACAAGTGAATAGATGTATTACTGTAATTTAAGTTTTAGCAGTCAGAGTTTTCACAGAAAGACTGGTTCTATAAAAAGGCATTCATTCAACTTGTGTTTGATTGGCAAACATTCACTTACACACTTTGTCTAGCAATCTCAATGTGAATAAAAATTGCATACCACCACTGAAAATGAGTGCAAAATGTAATTAACTATATTCTTGAATTTATTAATTCTAGAAAGACTTTGAATTTCAAACTGTTTTCTCCGCTATTCTCTAAAACTTGAGAGAGAGACTGATTTACACTAGAATCATTGGAAGTTTCTTAATTATTACAGTACTTTATGAAAAATTTTCACTTATTAAATGTCATCAGATTTTAACATACTGTTTCCACTGTGGATATAACATTGTTAATCCAAAACTAAGATATAATATTACTAATCCATGAACCTGATAAAGCTGACAAAATCCCAGTTGGCTCATTCTCCTTTATAACATTAAATATCTATGTGGCAAACTAAAACTATACCTGTCAAAATGTAGCCATCTGATTTAACAAGGTTCTACCAACCAGACAGCAGGTCAATTTAATAATGCCACACCTGATAATAAATCTTAACATGTCTTTTATAGCTTACCTATGTGATACAAAATGTTTGAAGCAATCATCCATAATAATAAATAAGTCAGGGTCTTATTTATCAACTCTGACCGTCAGTAAGTACTCTGATGCAGGGTCACAGGGAATGACAAGGAATTCCAGTCTTTAATAGGAATTACTAAAATTATGCATGTTTTGAGTAGGGATGTGAGCATACAGTCAAGTAAACAATTAACTGACAAGCAAGAGGCGGGGAGGGGGAGGGGGGAGTCGATGCCCATGAGGAGCTGGCTTTAGAATCCTCCAGCACACTTTTCTCCTCTCGTGTTAAAGCACAAGCCTTTCTTCTACTGTTAGCATGATTTTGTAATTCATAAGAAACTTCATTATGGATTTGGCTTATGAATTAGTGAAAATGTAGCATATATATCCTAAGACACAGGATGACACAAACCTGAGAACATTAGACAGCACTTTGATAATCAATGAGCAAAGGATATAATTGTCAAATGATCAGAAAATTAAATGAAAAGAAAATAAACTGAAATAAAATTAATACATAACCACCCCAGCAGTATTTAAAGCAACATTTTAAAGCACTTTTTGTCTTGTTCCCTCATCCTTACAATTCTAAATAGTTCCAGACAGAAACCATAACAAACACCTGCTGCCTTAAAGAATGTGTATTAGGGGGGAAAAAAACACAGCAGAAGCAAGCTCCATTTGAACATGAAAGAAACCAGGCAACCTCCAAGGCAGCAGTTTAGATCTTGTTCTCAACAACCAAGAAACAAAAATGGAACAACCACTGAGGCCAAAATGAAACAAGAAAAATACTATAATGCCACTTTTCTCAAGAAAACAAAAACAACTATCAATATCTCCCCCCCCCCCCCCCAAAAAAAAGCAAAGGCAGGATGCTAGTCTCTCTAACCAAATAGCCATGTTTGGAGACAGAGTAATCTCAACAAGGAAAAAGAGTAAAAGAGTATTCTGCGTGTCTGACAATCACTGTAAAAATATCAAATTAAGTCCACCATGTCAAGATGTTCAACAATATTAAGACCCATCAGGAATTTGTTTTGTACTATCAGGGTGCGAGCAGACAAGGCCTGCTATTGTACATGTAGCCCCATTCCTCAAGAGTCACTATGTATTCAGAGGAGTGGATGAAACTATACAGTGTGACCCAAGAGTGGAGAATGATGCCTGCTATGTGCAGTGTAACTCAAGATGTAGCAGAGATGTGTAAAACGACTGCTGATGCACTGTACCACTATGGTGAGTCTGCCATTATTACCTAACAAAAGCTGATTAGTCATATGCCACTGATTAACATCACACAGATTACAGGTGGAAGGTCATTATTCCGTATGGCCCAGTGGCGCTGATAAGGATGGCAGCTAGTCTTTATTGTGACTCAATGAGGAGCAGCTGGAGTGGGAAAGGCTTCTCCTCTTCTGCTGGCACCGATAGTCACTTGTAACCCCAAGAACGGTGAACAGGCAGAGGGAAACGGGAACTTCCACCCACTCCTGAAAGGGAGCAGGAGATTTGCTTGGGGAAAGGCTTGTCCTACTGATGGGACCTAGCGCCTGGTGAGTTCAGCGCAGCCCGGTGACTGACGACGGAGGTGCTCTGCCCCCCTCGACTACGAAGGAGGGGAAGCAGCACTCAGCTTCCCCTCAGCGAGACAAGAGCCTTTGTCTGGTGCCCCCGGGCCGGTGGCTAAGGGTGCTCCGACCCCACGAAAGGCATTCACCTCGGAAAGGGGGGTGTCCGGCACGAAGGCTCCCCCACGTCCCACGCAGGATTTGGGAAGGGCGGCCCACCCCACCCCACACTATGCGCCTCAGGATCCCGGCCTATGGCCCGGGGGCCTTCCCTGATGCAGCCACCTGGGGGTCCCAACCCCCCTGGGTCCGAGTCTCGGGGCCTCCGCCGGGCCGCCCGGCTAGTTGCTCCCGCATCCCCGGAAGGAGAACTGGGAAGCAGCAAGCCCAGCGTGGCCGCCGGTGAGCGCGGAACGGAATCACTCCCGGCCCGGCGCTGCGAAACCCCCGCACTTACCCTGTCACAACAGGCGCCATCTTCCACAAACTCTCGCCAAAACTCCTATTCTCGCGAGAGCTGCCTCCTCCAGCCCAGGCCGAGTGCGCGCGTGCACGGGCCCGTGAGACACACACGCGGTCGCGGAGCGGAGAGAGTGGGGGAAGCGCGCCACCCCCTCATTCCCGGGTTCTCCCTTCAGACACAACAGCGGCAACAGGCGTGGGAACCTGCCCAAAACTCGCGAGAACTCCAGCAGCGGCCTGCTAGGCGCTAAGGGAGAAGCTGGACTAGTCTCGCGAGAGCGAAGGGAAGGCAAAGGGTGGAGGACTCCTTCGCGGCCGCGCTGCGCTGCGCTGGGAGTGTTTGTTTCGGAGTCTCCTTGAGCCGAGGAGGAACAAACCACGCGCGGGAGAGGGGTGGGAGGGACCATTCGGGTGGGGCAGCCAGGATCCGTCCCCCAGGCGCTCCTCTGCCCGTGGCCGACACGCAGCGCGCCCCGGAGTGCTGAGCGGCCCCGGCCCGCGCCAGCCAGCGAGCGAGCGAGCGAGCGATCGCTGCCTTCCAGCGCTGCCCTCTCCGCGGAGCGGCCCGGGCCGCCTCCCCGCCTTGGGGGTCGCACGCTGGTGGCCGGTTAGCCGCTGCTGTCCCGCGCTTCGCAGCCCTCGTCTCCCCTGCCCGCCGGCTCCGTACCCTGCTGTAGGGACGCCCTCAAGCGCCCTGCCTGGCAGGGGTTGTGCGTCCTTCCTCACCCCCACCTCTGCGAGCCCACCCGGGGGGGGGGGGGGCTGTCTCCCCGCTTGTTTACAGACACAGGTAGAGAAATCCCAGGGTTGGGGGCCCCTTCGCAACTGCATTTGGGCTGCACTGAAAAAGGTAGAGAGCTGGCAAGAGAAGCAATGTCAGTACCAGGGTATATTACATTGTCCACTCCTGACAATTCCTTGGCACTAGTGATTTAACAGAAAAGGGAAAATTCTGATTTGAGGCCCTGAGCTGGGCATTTAGCAATCAGAAAGGTCATTTGCAAAACTAAGGCCGGGTGTAAGCTGGGAGCTTATGTCAATTTGACTGTCTTAGGTTGATTTGCTAAACAGTGAAACCACTATGCCCATCCCAATTCTGTTGATTTTAAGTGCAGTTAAGGTCAATTTTGGAATTCCTGCTTAGAATGACACTAAATTTGACCTTGCATGGTCAACTTTATGGTAGTTCAGACACAATGCTGAGAAAGTCGTAGTTCAGGCATGACTAATCTAAACTTGAGAAGGAGCCAGAATTTTCTAATACACATTGCCAAAGAGCAGTTATATGTCACCAGCCCTGATCATGTCCTCACCACCACTGTCAGCACATCCCCCCACTCCCACTGATCAGAGCCTGTTCCTGCCCACTGTGATCAGCTCTTTCTGAATGGGAGACACTGGAGGGGAGAAGCATGGGTGTGACAGGTTCAGTGGAGAATGTGGGAAGTGGCAGGATCCTAGGAGAAAAGGGCAGAGGGGGACAGCACCTAGGGCAGAGTTGGGGATTGAACAGCCTCTGGACCAGTGGAAAGTTGGCACTTGCAGCTCCAGCACTGGATTTGGTACCTATGAAAGGAGTCCCATATTATCTTCTGAAGAGACACATGTGGCTCTGGAGCTACAGGTTGGCCACCCCTGTCAGGCTATGTCTACACTGGCGGGTTCTTGTGCAAGAACCCTCAGAGCATCCACACTGCCCACCTGCTCTTGTGCAAGAAGATTTACAGTATGGTGTCAGAAGAGTTACGCTCTTTTCTAACAAGTGTAAGCCCTCTTGTGCAACAGGGCAGTGTGGATACACGGCAGGGGCTTCTTGCACAAGAAAGCCCTATGGCTAAAATGGCCATCAGAGCTTTTTTGCGCAAGACAGCGTCCACACTGCCATGGATGCTCTGGCGCAAAAGCACATGGCAGTGTGGATGTGTTCTTGTGCAAGAACCCGCCAATGTAGACATAAGCCCCATAGTTTTTGGCTTCTAGCATGCATCCTATAGTACCCCACAGGCTTTATTTGCACGTTCCTGTCCGGCCGCCATTTTTAAATCCCCCTTAGTTCGAACGAACTGCCCGTAGCTACACGCGGCAGTTTAAAGTTAATCCGAACTAAGTTCTTAGTTCGGATTAACTGTTACACCTCATTCCATTCCATGAGGAGTAACAGTTAATCCAAACTAAGAATTTAGTTTGTATTAACTTTAAACTGTTGCGTGTAGCCGCAGGCAGTTCGTTCGAACTAAGGGGGATTTAAAAATGGCGTCCGGACAGGAACATGCAAATAAAGCCTGGGATATTTAAATCCTGGGCTTCATTTGCAACTCCAGTTGCCTGATTTGCCTATCTAGCTCGAATTAATGAGCTAGTGTAAACATACCCCAAGTGACCAGGAAAAGAACTGGAAAATTTTGAATTTCATTTCCAGTTTGGCTAGCAGACTTCAGAGCAGGCAGCACACCTGAGTAGCACACTTACCCACCCCACATTGATTTCTAGCTGACTGGTAGCTGTATGGCATTGCAAGCTTTCATAGGGCAATTGCCATTCACTTCACTGTCAGAGCAGATCTCATTCTGGTATTCTTGTGCTTCAAGGTGGGGGAAAGCCATATACAAACTTTCATGAGAGTGACCTTACATATATAAAAGTTTTGCAGCTCTTGCCAGTCATCCCATAACTATGCCATCCCACCATTATGTGCTTCTCCGATAGCACCAGAACCAATGTCCCTATGTGTCCAGAGAATTGAAAGTTGGCAGCATTTCCAGTTGCTCAACCCAAGTGCTTTGCAAAAGAATATGTTCATGGCCTGACGAGATTCTTCCTCGCTCCAGCGGACCCTGGACATGCTCTAAGATAAGGCTCACTCTGAGTAATATGATTATCGTAATGCTTTGATGCTCAACAGAATCCATGATGGAGTCCATGCTATGTGCTATATGTGGATAACAAGGGGAAAAAAGTGTGTGAAGTGATTGTTTACCACTGCTTTCAAGTGGTGGGGTGAAGGGGAGGAGATGAGTGCACTATGAGATGCTGACGACATATCCCCAGAAGCACTCACTGCATAGTTTTGGTTCCAGTTTACACTGGGAACATAACCCAGAATGCAAGGGGCGAAGTAACTGTGGGATAGCTAACCAGAATACATAACTCTCAAAACTGACAGTAGCCCCCATGTGGACATGCTACTTTGAATTGTGTCAAATTCATGTGAACAGTAGGAACATGGACCTTGACAAAATCAGGTGCTACAAAAAACTGACCTTAGTAAATTTGCTCTTATCTCATAGTGTAGACATGGCCTAAATGTGCAATTTAACTTTCCAGACTACTGGTGTGGAAGTTCATAACTAGCTCTTCTTTCACCCCGTCAGCTTTCTGCCTCTGTAGCATCAATAAGCCATCTAGCTTCACACTCAAATCCCCAATATTAATACAAATATCCAATATGAGAATGAGTTTATCACTACTTCAGTCTTTTGTAAGTATGTCAACCAGACCTGCTAAACTTTCCATCATCTTTGTAATGTAATTTTTGGTCTGCATCTTCAACTTGAGCGACGAGGAGTCCTGTGGCACCTTATTGTAAGGGGACTGTCACCCCTTACTAAAACTCTGTGGGAGTTTTTTGGTTTACCAGCTTCAGAAGGGGAAGGGTTCATGAGACTGACAGACCCCAGAGACAATGGAAAGCAGTCAACACTCCAGCTCAGCCTGACTGACAGGCTGTAAGTGGGGATTGTTCTGGCTCTGTCTCTGAACAAACAAGCTGTGTGCAGAAGAGGTCCTGCAAAGACAGAGAGCTGAAAGAGGAGTACAAGAAGAAGTCCTGCAGCGACAGAACCAGACACAGACAGGCCAAGCAGTGCAGACCCTGTGTTGAGCAGCAGACTGGCAGTGCTCAGAAAGCCAAAAGGAACAGAGAAACAACACAAGGAGCTGGAACTGGCCAAGCAGCACAGCCTGCAGCTGGATGTGGTGAGCTACTGGGACCTGCAAAGTGTGGGGAAAGGCTCTGGACTGGGAGAGGGGTCTGGCCACTTAGAGACTGAGGCTGTGTGGTCACTGCCAGTGCAAGTGTGTCCAGCCTGCAGCCCCTTGCAGCACATCCAGGGCTTCTAAGGAAGAGACTGTGAACTGTCCTTACACTCTGCAGACTGCTGTGTTGATGTCCCTGTGCTACAGAGCAGGGCTGTGTGTTCTCATTTAACCATTCTCATTGTTTCTTATTCTATTCTCTTTAATCAGTTGATGTTTAATAAATTGTATTTGCTTTGAACCTTATGAAGTGATCACTGGGCCAAGAAGGCCTGCAGTGTAAAGAGAGCACCTCGGAGTGGGGACACCCTAACTCCTGCCCCTAGTGACTACAAGGTCAGGGATTAAGCCCCAGGAAACCTGGGCCCAGCCTTGTTGGGGTTTCAAGGGCTCTGCTACTCAGGAGAGTGGAGGGGGAGCCCTCAGGATCAGGGAGCCGTGGGGTAAAGGAAGTGGGAGCGGGGACTCAGATCCTTTCGCTGGTTCATTTCACCGGGGTGTATAGAAGCCAGGAAAGTTCCCCACAAGAGCGGGACCATTCCCCCGCTTACATTATGTTTGACTAACTGAAGTGTTGGAGCATAAGCTTTTGTGGGCAAAGACCCACTTCATCAGATGCATGTAGTGGAAATTTCCAGGGGCAGGTATAAATATGCAGGCCAGAATCAGGCTGGAGATGACGAGGTGGATCCAATCACCGAGGATGAGGCCCACTGCTAGTAGCTGATCTGGAGGTGTGAATTCCAAGAGAGGAGAAGCTGCTTTTGCAGATTCAGACTAACACGGCTACCCCTCTGATATCTTCAGCTTGCTAATGCTAATAAAATGTAGTGAAGAACAGCTTCCCAGACAAACTACAGTAAACTCATGCATTTTTTAAATCTGCTTTTGCCATGGAGTTTGCTGTAGTTATACAAATAGTTACTATTAGTTATCACTACATATGCTTTTTCCCACCATGATTTCTCCCTCCTCATTAGTTCCAAAAGGATTTTGATTGGTTCCTTGCAGACACTCTTCATCTGAAATACAATGCATAATGCAAATCCTCTGTATTGGTTGTGGCGCAGTAACTCATAATCTCCTTTATAAAATCCCTTCCTGAAAACATCTTTTTTCCCAAAAATATTAGAAATGTCTCTGTCTGCCTGCCTGCTATCTGTTCCAGAACTCCTCCTAAATGATAAGAGCTAGTATGACCAAATTTGGTATGCAGCTTCCTCTTATCTTAACTAAAAAGCAAGGTCAGT